AGAAAATCAGAAAATGCCGTGTAGGTACCCTATTTTTTGGTGTCAGCTGATGTGACTGGTAACGTTTAACACTTCCTGCTAAATATTTTTTCATGAATTCGAATACCTGATTTTTAATGATTTTTTATTCTATATAGAATTACATAGTGAAAACAATTACCGGTGTGATACCTTGAAGGTGATTGTGTAAAATCATCTACACCCATATTAAAGGCAGTTTTAATTTTATAAAGGCATATTTCAACAAAATATGTCATTTTATGAACTTTCTGTGTGAAAGCACATATTTCTAAATTTAGAAGCAGGGTTGACATTAATTTATACAGATTTCTATGTAAAATACTAATGACATGTCATGTTTTAACCTCAAAACTCCAAATTATGACTTTCAAAGGAGGATTATGCATCTGACATGTAGAAAGAAGTTAGAAAATGTTGGTTTTTTATTTTATATGACTTTAAACTCTGTGCACCACCTGACCGCAGTCAATTATAGTGTCTACAGCCTTTGCCGTAAAAGCACTTTAGGCTGATTTTTTCAAGAATAGACTAATTCTGGGTTTGCGAATGAGTTTTCAACAAAAGCGACAACTGCGATTAAATGTGAAGAAGTAAAACATGTTTTTAAAAAGTGTTAAATTTTACAGAGACTGGGTTTACTTTCATTTTATTCACCTTAAGTGATTCATTTATTACTGGAGTGGAGGAATAGAAATAATGAAATGAGTTAAATTTGTCTAACAAAAGTAATGCACAAATAAAATTTATTAAGAATTTTTCAAAAATAAGAAGCTTATGACCAAAAATGCATAAATACTGTCAGGGCATGAGAGTGAATACTTATTCTGAGTCCCAACCATGCATCACACATATGGTGCAGAATGTCACTTAGCGCCATGGTATGCCTGTTATGGTTCTCTAGACTTTTTCCATGCTTTCGCAGCTGACATTCAAGATTTTTCAGTTTGCCGGAGAATGTTTTTTGTCATTTTACAACTTTTATGTAGGTGTTGACCCTCTCTTTTAAATTAAGTCTCAGTCAGGATGTTTATTTTAGCATGATTTGTTAAACACATTAATATACTGAAATATTAATAAATTACAAATTAAAGTGATGAAGAAATTTGACATATTTACACAATCAAAATATCAGAATAACCATAATTCAGCTAATAAAATGCCATGTTCTTCTTTTGTCACTTCCTATAAATTTTATCAGCATTTTTTGTACACCCACCCACCTCCAAGAATCATGGAGGATGGCCTGATATTAGTTTCTTTGTTGCATTTATTCACATTTAAAAGTGTTAAGACCCATAAAAATGTTTAAGATTTATATTTTCAAATTTAAATGTTGAATTTTTATGTAAATTTGGTGAAACAAAAAGCTGTAATCTTGAATTAATCATGCAAATTCATCAAACACCTTTGAAATTCCTGAGTAATTCAGTGAAAAGAGGATAATTATGTATGTTCAATTGGAATTTCATGGCTAATTTGTGTCTGCAGAGAAAGCCAGTTACATAAATCACAACAATAAATTACATCTGAATTGTTTTCTCCATTTTCTTATCATCAAAGCAAGTTTAATGGAGTGTCAGAGCTGTCTAGAACCTCCCCAGATGCTGATATCATTTGGACTGCCCTGTGTTACAACACAGCTTTTAGATAAACTTCTGCATAGCAGGTTGTAGACAAGAACCTAGGCTTTATTTGGAACATAAATTGACCCGATGCAGATTTTATTATCAGCCTAATATTTAACAATTTCTGTAAATTTTGTCATTCTTAGGAGGGTAAAATGCAATTTTGTTATGTAATAATTGCATAATGGTCTCAGACTTGTGAATTATTTTTTGTTTGTTGTGAAGAACAATGCATATACTCTCCACGGATACAAAATTGGTTGCCAGGCTTAGTCTATTAAGGATGAAATTCTGCTTCAAAATATGCACAAAAAACTTCTGTCAGAGTGCTCAGTGTGTATTCTTGACTGCTCTGGAGTAAGGGAGATAAATGCATCATATCTCCAGCAATAATGGGAATTAGATCCCCAGACTTCAGGATGTTAGTGACAGTTATTTAAGAAATCTCAGGTGCAAAAAAGAAAAAAATCTGACAACTTCAAAGGTCCTTCAAGGTATCACACCGGTAATTGACCAATCAAAATGAACTTAGTCAATTGTAGTTCCATACATAATAAAGAAATATTTTTTTATTGTGAGAAATTTTTTTAATTTCCCTTATTCTATTTTTACATTTTTGGTATCTGTGCTTAGGATATTTTATGTACTTTGTAAAATATTAAAGGTTTTTGACAGGAACTATTTCTTTCGGGGCATAGGAGGCCACTTCCTGGGGTGCACACAGGATGTTTATAAACACATTGAATACACGTGGTTTTGAGGGTATTCCTGTTTGCGGATGGAGAAAATCAGAAAATGCCGTGTAGGTACCCTATTTTTTGGTGTCAGCTGATGTGACTGGTAACGTTTAACACTTCCTGCTAAATATTTTTTCATGAATTCGAATACCTGATTTTTAATGATTTTTTATTCTATATAGAATTACATAGTGAAAACAATTACCGGTGTGATACCTTGAAGGTGATTGTGTAAAATCATCTACACCCATATTAAAGGCAGTTTTAATTTTATAAAGGCATATTTCAACAAAATATGTCATTTTATGAACTTTCTGTGTGAAAGCACATATTTCTAAATTTAGAAGCAGGGTTGACATTAATTTATACAGATTTCTATGTAAAATACTAATGACATGTCATGTTTTAACCTCAAAACTCCAAATTATGACTTTCAAAGGAGGATTATGCATCTGACATGTAGAAAGAAGTTAGAAAATGTTGGTTTTTTATTTTATATGACTTTAAACTCTGTGCACCACCTGACCGCAGTCAATTATAGTGTCTACAGCCTTTGCCGTAAAAGCACTTTAGGCTGATTTTTTCAAGAATAGACTAATTCTGGGTTTGCGAATGAGTTTTCAACAAAAGCGACAACTGCGATTAAATGTGAAGAAGTAAAACATGTTTTTAAAAAGTGTTAAATTTTACAGAGACTGGGTTTACTTTCATTTTATTCACCTTAAGTGATTCATTTATTACTGGAGTGGAGGAATAGAAATAATGAAATGAGTTAAATTTGTCTAACAAAAGTAATGCACAAATAAAATTTATTAAGAATTTTTCAAAAATAAGAAGCTTATGACCAAAAATGCATAAATACTGTCAGGGCATGAGAGTGAATACTTATTCTGAGTCCCAACCATGCATCACACATATGGTGCAGAATGTCACTTAGCGCCATGGTATGCCTGTTATGGTTCTCTAGACTTTTTCCATGCTTTCGCAGCTGACATTCAAGATTTTTCAGTTTGCCGGAGAATGTTTTTTGTCATTTTACAACTTTTATGTAGGTGTTGACCCTCTCTTTTAAATTAAGTCTCAGTCAGGATGTTTATTTTAGCATGATTTGTTAAACACATTAATATACTGAAATATTAATAAATTACAAATTAAAGTGATGAAGAAATTTGACATATTTACACAATCAAAATATCAGAATAACCATAATTCAGCTAATAAAATGCCATGTTCTTCTTTTGTCACTTCCTATAAATTTTATCAGCATTTTTTGTACACCCACCCACCTCCAAGAATCATGGAGGATGGCCTGATATTAGTTTCTTTGTTGCATTTATTCACATTTAAAAGTGTTAAGACCCATAAAAATGTTTAAGATTTATATTTTCAAATTTAAATGTTGAATTTTTATGTAAATTTGGTGAAACAAAAAGCTGTAATCTTGAATTAATCATGCAAATTCATCAAACACCTTTGAAATTCCTGAGTAATTCAGTGAAAAGAGGATAATTATGTATGTTCAATTGGAATTTCATGGCTAATTTGTGTCTGCAGAGAAAGCCAGTTACATAAATCACAACAATAAATTACATCTGAATTGTTTTCTCCATTTTCTTATCATCAAAGCAAGTTTAATGGAGTGTCAGAGCTGTCTAGAACCTCCCCAGATGCTGATATCATTTGGACTGCCCTGTGTTACAACACAGCTTTTAGATAAACTTCTGCATAGCAGGTTGTAGACAAGAACCTAGGCTTTATTTGGAACATAAATTGACCCGATGCAGATTTTATTATCAGCCTAATATTTAACAATTTCTGTAAATTTTGTCATTCTTAGGAGGGTAAAATGCAATTTTGTTATGTAATAATTGCATAATGGTCTCAGACTTGTGAATTATTTTTTGTTTGTTGTGAAGAACAATGCATATACTCTCCACGGATACAAAATTGGTTGCCAGGCTTAGTCTATTAAGGATGAAATTCTGCTTCAAAATATGCACAAAAAACTTCTGTCAGAGTGCTCAGTGTGTATTCTTGACTGCTCTGGAGTAAGGGAGATAAATGCATCATATCTCCAGCAATAATGGGAATTAGATCCCCAGACTTCAGGATGTTAGTGACAGTTATTTAAGAAATCTCAGGTGCAAAAAAGAAAAAAATCTGACAACTTCAAAGGTCCTTCAAGGTATCACACCGGTAATTGACCAATCAAAATGAACTTAGTCAATTGTAGTTCCATACATAATAAAGAAATATTTTTTTATTGTGAGAAATTTTTTTAATTTCCCTTATTCTATTTTTACATTTTTGGTATCTGTGCTTAGGATATTTTATGTACTTTGTAAAATATTAAAGGTTTTTGACAGGAACTATTTCTTTCGGGGCATAGGAGGCCACTTCCTGGGGTGCACACAGGATGTTTATAAACACATTGAATACACGTGGTTTTGAGGGTATTCCTGTTTGCGGATGGAGAAAATCAGAAAATGCCGTGTAGGTACCCTATTTTTTGGTGTCAGCTGATGTGACTGGTAACGTTTAACACTTCCTGCTAAATATTTTTTCATGAATTCGAATACCTGATTTTTAATGATTTTTTATTCTATATAGAATTACATAGTGAAAACAATTACCGGTGTGATACCTTGAAGGTGATTGTGTAAAATCATCTACACCCATATTAAAGGCAGTTTTAATTTTATAAAGGCATATTTCAACAAAATATGTCATTTTATGAACTTTCTGTGTGAAAGCACATATTTCTAAATTTAGAAGCAGGGTTGACATTAATTTATACAGATTTCTATGTAAAATACTAATGACATGTCATGTTTTAACCTCAAAACTCCAAATTATGACTTTCAAAGGAGGATTATGCATCTGACATGTAGAAAGAAGTTAGAAAATGTTGGTTTTTTATTTTATATGACTTTAAACTCTGTGCACCACCTGACCGCAGTCAATTATAGTGTCTACAGCCTTTGCCGTAAAAGCACTTTAGGCTGATTTTTTCAAGAATAGACTAATTCTGGGTTTGCGAATGAGTTTTCAACAAAAGCGACAACTGCGATTAAATGTGAAGAAGTAAAACATGTTTTTAAAAAGTGTTAAATTTTACAGAGACTGGGTTTACTTTCATTTTATTCACCTTAAGTGATTCATTTATTACTGGAGTGGAGGAATAGAAATAATGAAATGAGTTAAATTTGTCTAACAAAAGTAATGCACAAATAAAATTTATTAAGAATTTTTCAAAAATAAGAAGCTTATGACCAAAAATGCATAAATACTGTCAGGGCATGAGAGTGAATACTTATTCTGAGTCCCAACCATGCATCACACATATGGTGCAGAATGTCACTTAGCGCCATGGTATGCCTGTTATGGTTCTCTAGACTTTTTCCATGCTTTCGCAGCTGACATTCAAGATTTTTCAGTTTGCCGGAGAATGTTTTTTGTCATTTTACAACTTTTATGTAGGTGTTGACCCTCTCTTTTAAATTAAGTCTCAGTCAGGATGTTTATTTTAGCATGATTTGTTAAACACATTAATATACTGAAATATTAATAAATTACAAATTAAAGTGATGAAGAAATTTGACATATTTACACAATCAAAATATCAGAATAACCATAATTCAGCTAATAAAATGCCATGTTCTTCTTTTGTCACTTCCTATAAATTTTATCAGCATTTTTTGTACACCCACCCACCTCCAAGAATCATGGAGGATGGCCTGATATTAGTTTCTTTGTTGCATTTATTCACATTTAAAAGTGTTAAGACCCATAAAAATGTTTAAGATTTATATTTTCAAATTTAAATGTTGAATTTTTATGTAAATTTGGTGAAACAAAAAGCTGTAATCTTGAATTAATCATGCAAATTCATCAAACACCTTTGAAATTCCTGAGTAATTCAGTGAAAAGAGGATAATTATGTATGTTCAATTGGAATTTCATGGCTAATTTGTGTCTGCAGAGAAAGCCAGTTACATAAATCACAACAATAAATTACATCTGAATTGTTTTCTCCATTTTCTTATCATCAAAGCAAGTTTAATGGAGTGTCAGAGCTGTCTAGAACCTCCCCAGATGCTGATATCATTTGGACTGCCCTGTGTTACAACACAGCTTTTAGATAAACTTCTGCATAGCAGGTTGTAGACAAGAACCTAGGCTTTATTTGGAACATAAATTGACCCGATGCAGATTTTATTATCAGCCTAATATTTAACAATTTCTGTAAATTTTGTCATTCTTAGGAGGGTAAAATGCAATTTTGTTATGTAATAATTGCATAATGGTCTCAGACTTGTGAATTATTTTTTGTTTGTTGTGAAGAACAATGCATATACTCTCCACGGATACAAAATTGGTTGCCAGGCTTAGTCTATTAAGGATGAAATTCTGCTTCAAAATATGCACAAAAAACTTCTGTCAGAGTGCTCAGTGTGTATTCTTGACTGCTCTGGAGTAAGGGAGATAAATGCATCATATCTCCAGCAATAATGGGAATTAGATCCCCAGACTTCAGGATGTTAGTGACAGTTATTTAAGAAATCTCAGGTGCAAAAAAGAAAAAAATCTGACAACTTCAAAGGTCCTTCAAGGTATCACACCGGTAATTGACCAATCAAAATGAACTTAGTCAATTGTAGTTCCATACATAATAAAGAAATATTTTTTTATTGTGAGAAATTTTTTTAATTTCCCTTATTCTATTTTTACATTTTTGGTATCTGTGCTTAGGATATTTTATGTACTTTGTAAAATATTAAAGGTTTTTGACAGGAACTATTTCTTTCGGGGCATAGGAGGCCACTTCCTGGGGTGCACACAGGATGTTTATAAACACATTGAATACACGTGGTTTTGAGGGTATTCCTGTTTGCGGATGGAGAAAATCAGAAAATGCCGTGTAGGTACCCTATTTTTTGGTGTCAGCTGATGTGACTGGTAACGTTTAACACTTCCTGCTAAATATTTTTTCATGAATTCGAATACCTGATTTTTAATGATTTTTTATTCTATATAGAATTACATAGTGAAAACAATTACCGGTGTGATACCTTGAAGGTGATTGTGTAAAATCATCTACACCCATATTAAAGGCAGTTTTAATTTTATAAAGGCATATTTCAACAAAATATGTCATTTTATGAACTTTCTGTGTGAAAGCACATATTTCTAAATTTAGAAGCAGGGTTGACATTAATTTATACAGATTTCTATGTAAAATACTAATGACATGTCATGTTTTAACCTCAAAACTCCAAATTATGACTTTCAAAGGAGGATTATGCATCTGACATGTAGAAAGAAGTTAGAAAATGTTGGTTTTTTATTTTATATGACTTTAAACTCTGTGCACCACCTGACCGCAGTCAATTATAGTGTCTACAGCCTTTGCCGTAAAAGCACTTTAGGCTGATTTTTTCAAGAATAGACTAATTCTGGGTTTGCGAATGAGTTTTCAACAAAAGCGACAACTGCGATTAAATGTGAAGAAGTAAAACATGTTTTTAAAAAGTGTTAAATTTTACAGAGACTGGGTTTACTTTCATTTTATTCACCTTAAGTGATTCATTTATTACTGGAGTGGAGGAATAGAAATAATGAAATGAGTTAAATTTGTCTAACAAAAGTAATGCACAAATAAAATTTATTAAGAATTTTTCAAAAATAAGAAGCTTATGACCAAAAATGCATAAATACTGTCAGGGCATGAGAGTGAATACTTATTCTGAGTCCCAACCATGCATCACACATATGGTGCAGAATGTCACTTAGCGCCATGGTATGCCTGTTATGGTTCTCTAGACTTTTTCCATGCTTTCGCAGCTGACATTCAAGATTTTTCAGTTTGCCGGAGAATGTTTTTTGTCATTTTACAACTTTTATGTAGGTGTTGACCCTCTCTTTTAAATTAAGTCTCAGTCAGGATGTTTATTTTAGCATGATTTGTTAAACACATTAATATACTGAAATATTAATAAATTACAAATTAAAGTGATGAAGAAATTTGACATATTTACACAATCAAAATATCAGAATAACCATAATTCAGCTAATAAAATGCCATGTTCTTCTTTTGTCACTTCCTATAAATTTTATCAGCATTTTTTGTACACCCACCCACCTCCAAGAATCATGGAGGATGGCCTGATATTAGTTTCTTTGTTGCATTTATTCACATTTAAAAGTGTTAAGACCCATAAAAATGTTTAAGATTTATATTTTCAAATTTAAATGTTGAATTTTTATGTAAATTTGGTGAAACAAAAAGCTGTAATCTTGAATTAATCATGCAAATTCATCAAACACCTTTGAAATTCCTGAGTAATTCAGTGAAAAGAGGATAATTATGTATGTTCAATTGGAATTTCATGGCTAATTTGTGTCTGCAGAGAAAGCCAGTTACATAAATCACAACAATAAATTACATCTGAATTGTTTTCTCCATTTTCTTATCATCAAAGCAAGTTTAATGGAGTGTCAGAGCTGTCTAGAACCTCCCCAGATGCTGATATCATTTGGACTGCCCTGTGTTACAACACAGCTTTTAGATAAACTTCTGCATAGCAGGTTGTAGACAAGAACCTAGGCTTTATTTGGAACATAAATTGACCCGATGCAGATTTTATTATCAGCCTAATATTTAACAATTTCTGTAAATTTTGTCATTCTTAGGAGGGTAAAATGCAATTTTGTTATGTAATAATTGCATAATGGTCTCAGACTTGTGAATTATTTTTTGTTTGTTGTGAAGAACAATGCATATACTCTCCACGGATACAAAATTGGTTGCCAGGCTTAGTCTATTAAGGATGAAATTCTGCTTCAAAATATGCACAAAAAACTTCTGTCAGAGTGCTCAGTGTGTATTCTTGACTGCTCTGGAGTAAGGGAGATAAATGCATCATATCTCCAGCAATAATGGGAATTAGATCCCCAGACTTCAGGATGTTAGTGACAGTTATTTAAGAAATCTCAGGTGCAAAAAAGAAAAAAATCTGACAACTTCAAAGGTCCTTCAAGGTATCACACCGGTAATTGACCAATCAAAATGAACTTAGTCAATTGTAGTTCCATACATAATAAAGAAATATTTTTTTATTGTGAGAAATTTTTTTAATTTCCCTTATTCTATTTTTACATTTTTGGTATCTGTGCTTAGGATATTTTATGTACTTTGTAAAATATTAAAGGTTTTTGACAGGAACTATTTCTTTCGGGGCATAGGAGGCCACTTCCTGGGGTGCACACAGGATGTTTATAAACACATTGAATACACGTGGTTTTGAGGGTATTCCTGTTTGCGGATGGAGAAAATCAGAAAATGCCGTGTAGGTACCCTATTTTTTGGTGTCAGCTGATGTGACTGGTAACGTTTAACACTTCCTGCTAAATATTTTTTCATGAATTCGAATACCTGATTTTTAATGATTTTTTATTCTATATAGAATTACATAGTGAAAACAATTACCGGTGTGATACCTTGAAGGTGATTGTGTAAAATCATCTACACCCATATTAAAGGCAGTTTTAATTTTATAAAGGCATATTTCAACAAAATATGTCATTTTATGAACTTTCTGTGTGAAAGCACATATTTCTAAATTTAGAAGCAGGGTTGACATTAATTTATACAGATTTCTATGTAAAATACTAATGACATGTCATGTTTTAACCTCAAAACTCCAAATTATGACTTTCAAAGGAGGATTATGCATCTGACATGTAGAAAGAAGTTAGAAAATGTTGGTTTTTTATTTTATATGACTTTAAACTCTGTGCACCACCTGACCGCAGTCAATTATAGTGTCTACAGCCTTTGCCGTAAAAGCACTTTAGGCTGATTTTTTCAAGAATAGACTAATTCTGGGTTTGCGAATGAGTTTTCAACAAAAGCGACAACTGCGATTAAATGTGAAGAAGTAAAACATGTTTTTAAAAAGTGTTAAATTTTACAGAGACTGGGTTTACTTTCATTTTATTCACCTTAAGTGATTCATTTATTACTGGAGTGGAGGAATAGAAATAATGAAATGAGTTAAATTTGTCTAACAAAAGTAATGCACAAATAAAATTTATTAAGAATTTTTCAAAAATAAGAAGCTTATGACCAAAAATGCATAAATACTGTCAGGGCATGAGAGTGAATACTTATTCTGAGTCCCAACCATGCATCACACATATGGTGCAGAATGTCACTTAGCACCATGGTATGCCTGTTATGGTTCTCTAGACTTTTTCCATGCTTTCGCAGCTGACATTCAAGATTTTTCAGTTTGCCGGAGAATGTTTTTTGTCATTTTACAACTTTTATGTAGGTGTTGACCCTCTCTTTTAAATTAAGTCTCAGTCAGGATGTTTATTTTAGCATGATTTGTTAAACACATTAATATACTGAAATATTAATAAATTACAAATTAAAGTGATGAAGAAATTTGACATATTTACACAATCAAAATATCAGAATAACCATAATTCAGCTAATAAAATGCCATGTTCTTCTTTTGTCACTTCCTATAAATTTTATCAGCATTTTTTGTACACCCACCCACCTCCAAGAATCATGGAGGATGGCCTGATATTAGTTTCTTTGTTGCATTTATTCACATTTAAAAGTGTTAAGACCCATAAAAATGTTTAAGATTTATATTTTCAAATTTAAATGTTGAATTTTTATGTAAATTTGGTGAAACAAAAAGCTGTAATCTTGAATTAATCATGCAAATTCATCAAACACCTTTGAAATTCCTGAGTAATTCAGTGAAAAGAGGATAATTATGTATGTTCAATTGGAATTTCATGGCTAATTTGTGTCTGCAGAGAAAGCCAGTTACATAAATCACAACAATAAATTACATCTGAATTGTTTTCTCCATTTTCTTATCATCAAAGCAAGTTTAATGGAGTGTCAGAGCTGTCTAGAACCTCCCCAGATGCTGATATCATTTGGACTGCCCTGTGTTACAACACAGCTTTTAGATAAACTTCTGCATAGCAGGTTGTAGACAAGAACCTAGGCTTTATTTGGAACATAAATTGACCCGATGCAGATTTTATTATCAGCCTAATATTTAACAATTTCTGTAAATTTTGTCATTCTTAGGAGGGTAAAATGCAATTTTGTTATGTAATAATTGCATAATGGTCTCAGACTTGTGAATTATTTTTTGTTTGTTGTGAAGAACAATGCATATACTCTCCACGGATACAAAATTGGTTGCCAGGCTTAGTCTATTAAGGATGAAATTCTGCTTCAAAATATGCACAAAAAACTTCTGTCAGAGTGCTCAGTGTGTATTCTTGACTGCTCTGGAGTAAGGGAGATAAATGCATCATATCTCCAGCAATAATGGGAATTAGATCCCCAGACTTCAGGATGTTAGTGACAGTTATTTAAGAAATCTCAGGTGCAAAAAAGAAAAAAATCTGACAACTTCAAAGGTCCTTCAAGGTATCACACCGGTAATTGACCAATCAAAATGAACTTAGTCAATTGTAGTTCCATACATAATAAAGAAATATTTTTTTATTGTGAGAAATTTTTTTAATTTCCCTTATTCTATTTTTACATTTTTGGTATCTGTGCTTAGGATATTTTATGTACTTTGTAAAATATTAAAGGTTTTTGACAGGAACTATTTCTTTCGGGGCATAGGAGGCCACTTCCTGGGGTGCACACAGGATGTTTATAAACACATTGAATACACGTGGTTTTGAGGGTATTCCTGTTTGCGGATGGAGAAAATCAGAAAATGCCGTGTAGGTACCCTATTTTTTGGTGTCAGCTGATGTGACTGGTAACGTTTAACACTTCCTGCTAAATATTTTTTCATGAATTCGAATACCTGATTTTTAATGATTTTTTATTCTATATAGAATTACATAGTGAAAACAATTACCGGTGTGATACCTTGAAGGTGATTGTGTAAAATCATCTACACCCATATTAAAGGCAGTTTTAATTTTATAAAGGCATATTTCAACAAAATATGTCATTTTATGAACTTTCTGTGTGAAAGCACATATTTCTAAATTTAGAAGCAGGGTTGACATTAATTTATACAGATTTCTATGTAAAATACTAATGACATGTCATGTTTTAACCTCAAAACTCCAAATTATGACTTTCAAAGGAGGATTATGCATCTGACATGTAGAAAGAAGTTAGAAAATGTTGGTTTTTTATTTTATATGACTTTAAACTCTGTGCACCACCTGACCGCAGTCAATTATAGTGTCTACAGCCTTTGCCGTAAAAGCACTTTAGGCTGATTTTTTCAAGAATAGACTAATTCTGGGTTTGCGAATGAGTTTTCAACAAAAGCGACAACTGCGATTAAATGTGAAGAAGTAAAACATGTTTTTAAAAAGTGTTAAATTTTACAGAGACTGGGTTTACTTTCATTTTATTCACCTTAAGTGATTCATTTATTACTGGAGTGGAGGAATAGAAATAATGAAATGAGTTAAATTTGTCTAACAAAAGTAATGCACAAATAAAATTTATTAAGAATTTTTCAAAAATAAGAAGCTTATGACCAAAAATGCATAAATACTGTCAGGGCATGAGAGTGAATACTTATTCTGAGTCCCAACCATGCATCACACATATGGTGCAGAATGTCACTTAGCGCCATGGTATGCCTGTTATGGTTCTCTAGACTTTTTCCATGCTTTCGCAGCTGACATTCAAGATTTTTCAGTTTGCCGGAGAATGTTTTTTGTCATTTTACAACTTTTATGTAGGTGTTGACCCTCTCTTTTAAATTAAGTCTCAGTCAGGATGTTTATTTTAGCATGATTTGTTAAACACATTAATATACTGAAATATTAATAAATTACAAATTAAAGTGATGAAGAAATTTGACATATTTACACAATCAAAATATCAGAATAACCATAATTCAGCTAATAAAATGCCATGTTCTTCTTTTGTCACTTCCTATAAATTTTATCAGCATTTTTTGTACACCCACCCACCTCCAAGAATCATGGAGGATGGCCTGATATTAGTTTCTTTGTTGCATTTATTCACATTTAAAAGTGTTAAGACCCATAAAAATGTTTAAGATTTATATTTTCAAATTTAAATGTTGAATTTTTATGTAAATTTGGTGAAACAAAAAGCTGTAATCTTGAATTAATCATGCAAATTCATCAAACACCTTTGAAATTCCTGAGTAATTCAGTGAAAAGAGGATAATTATGTATGTTCAATTGGAATTTCATGGCTAATTTGTGTCTGCAGAGAAAGCCAGTTACATAAATCACAACAATAAATTACATCTGAATTGTTTTCTCCATTTTCTTATCATCAAAGCAAGTTTAATGGAGTGTCAGAGCTGTCTAGAACCTCCCCAGATGCTGATATCATTTGGACTGCCCTGTGTTACAACACAGCTTTTAGATAAACTTCTGCATAGCAGGTTGTAGACAAGAACCTAGGCTTTATTTGGAACATAAATTGACCCGATGCAGATTTTATTATCAGCCTAATATTTAACAATTTCTGTAAATTTTGTCATTCTTAGGAGGGTAAAATGCAATTTTGTTATGTAATAATTGCATAATGGTCTCAGACTTGTGAATTATTTTTTGTTTGTTGTGAAGAACAATGCATATACTCTCCACGGATACAAAATTGGTTGCCAGGCTTAGTCTATTAAGGATGAAATTCTGCTTCAAAATATGCACAAAAAACTTCTGTCAGAGTGCTCAGTGTGTATTCTTGACTGCTCTGGAGTAAGGGAGATAAATGCATCATATCTCCAGCAATAATGGGAATTAGATCCCCAGACTTCAGGATGTTAGTGACAGTTATTTAAGAAATCTCAGGTGCAAAAAAGAAAAAAATCTGACAACTTCAAAGGTCCTTCAAGGTATCACACCGGTAATTGACCAATCAAAATGAACTTAGTCAATTGTAGTTCCATACATAATAAAGAAATATTTTTTTATTGTGAGAAATTTTTTTAATTTCCCTTATTCTATTTTTACATTTTTGGTATCTGTGCTTAGGATATTTTATGTACTTTGTAAAATATTAAAGGTTTTTGACAGGAACTATTTCTTTCGGGGCATAGGAGGCCACTTCCTGGGGTGCACACAGGATGTTTATAAACACATTGAATACACGTGGTTTTGAGGGTATTCCTGTTTGCGGATGGAGAAAATCAGAAAATGCCGTGTAGGTACCCTATTTTTTGGTGTCAGCTGATGTGACTGGTAACGTTTAACACTTCCTGCTAAATATTTTTTCATGAATTCGAATACCTGATTTTTAATGATTTTTTATTCTATATAGAATTACATAGTGAAAACAATTACCGGTGTGATACCTTGAAGGTGATTGTGTAAAATCATCTACACCCATATTAAAGGCAGTTTTAATTTTATAAAGGCATATTTCAACAAAATATGTCATTTTATGAACTTTCTGTGTGAAAGCACATATTTCTAAATTTAGAAGCAGGGTTGACATTAATTTATACAGATTTCTATGTAAAATACTAATGACATGTCATGTTTTAACCTCAAAACTCCAAATTATGACTTTCAAAGGAGGATTATGCATCTGACATGTAGAAAGAAGTTAGAAAATGTTGGTTTTTTATTTTATATGACTTTAAACTCTGTGCACCACCTGACCGCAGTCAATTATAGTGTCTACAGCCTTTGCCGTAAAAGCACTTTAGGCTGATTTTTTCAAGAATAGACTAATTCTGGGTTTGCGAATGAGTTTTCAACAAAAGCGACAACTGCGATTAAATGTGAAGAAGTAAAACATGTTTTTAAAAAGTGTTAAATTTTACAGAGACTGGGTTTACTTTCATTTTATTCACCTTAAGTGATTCATTTATTACTGGAGTGGAGGAATAGAAATAATGAAATGAGTTAAATTTGTCTAACAAAAGTAATGCACAAATAAAATTTATTAAGAATTTTTCAAAAATAAGAAGCTTATGACCAAAAATGCATAAATACTGTCAGGGCATGAGAGTGAATACTTATTCTGAGTCCCAACCATGCATCACACATATGGTGCAGAATGTCACTTAGCGCCATGGTATGCCTGTTATGGTTCTCTAGACTTTTTCCATGCTTTCGCAGCTGACATTCAAGATTTTTCAGTTTGCCGGAGAATGTTTTTTGTCATTTTACAACTTTTATGTAGGTGTTGACCCTCTCTTTTAAATTAAGTCTCAGTCAGGATGTTTATTTTAGCATGATTTGTTAAACACATTAATATACTGAAATATTAATAAATTACAAATTAAAGTGATGAAGAAATTTGACATATTTACACAATCAAAATATCAGAATAACCATAATTCAGCTAATAAAATGCCATGTTCTTCTTTTGTCACTTCCTATAAATTTTATCAGCATTTTTTGTACACCCACCCACCTCCAAGAATCATGGAGGATGGCCTGATATTAGTTTCTTTGTTGCATTTATTCACATTTAAAAGTGTTAAGACCCATAAAAATGTTTAAGATTTATATTTTCAAATTTAAATGTTGAATTTTTATGTAAATTTGGTGAAACAAAAAGCTGTAATCTTGAATTAATCATGCAAATTCATCAAACACCTTTGAAATTCCTGAGTAATTCAGTGAAAAGAGGATAATTATGTATGTTCAATTGGAATTTCATGGCTAATTTGTGTCTGCAGAGAAAGCCAGTTACATAAATCACAACAATAAATTACATCTGAATTGTTTTCTCCATTTTCTTATCATCAAAGCAAGTTTAATGGAGTGTCAGAGCTGTCTAGAACCTCCCCAGATGCTGATATCATTTGGACTGCCCTGTGTTACAACACAGCTTTTAGATAAACTTCTGCATAGCAGGTTGTAGACAAGAACCTAGGCTTTATTTGGAACATAAATTGACCCGATGCAGATTTTATTATCAGCCTAATATTTAACAATTTCTGTAAATTTTGTCATTCTTAGGAGGGTAAAATGCAATTTTGTTATGTAATAATTGCATAATGGTCTCAGACTTGTGAATTATTTTTTGTTTGTTGTGAAGAACAATGCATATACTCTCCACGGATACAAAATTGGTTGCCAGGCTTAGTCTATTAAGGATGAAATTCTGCTTCAAAATATGCACAAAAAACTTCTGTCAGAGTGCTCAGTGTGTATTCTTGACTGCTCTGGAGTAAGGGAGATAAATGCATCATATCTCCAGCAATAATGGGAATTAGATCCCCAGACTTCAGGATGTTAGTGACAGTTATTTAAGAAATCTCAGGTGCAAAAAAGAAAAAAATCTGACAACTTCAAAGGTCCTTCAAGGTATCACACCGGTAATTGACCAATCAAAATGAACTTAGTCAATTGTAGTTCCATACATAATAAAGAAATATTTTTTTATTGTGAGAAATTTTTTTAATTTCCCTTATTCTATTTTTACATTTTTGGTATCTGTGCTTAGGATATTTTATGTACTTTGTAAAATATTAAAGGTTTTTGACAGGAACTATTTCTTTCGGGGCATAGGAGGCCACTTCCTGGGGTGCACACAGGATGTTTATAAACACATTGAATACACGTGGTTTTGAGGGTATTCCTGTTTGCGGATGGAGAAAATCAGAAAATGCCGTGTAGGTACCCTATTTTTTGGTGTCAGCTGATGTGACTGGTAACGTTTAACACTTCCTGCTAAATATTTTTTCATGAATTCGAATACCTGATTTTTAATGATTTTTTATTCTATATAGAATTACATAGTGAAAACAATTACCGGTGTGATACCTTGAAGGTGATTGTGTAAAATCATCTACACCCATATTAAAGGCAGTTTTAATTTTATAAAGGCATATTTCAACAAAATATGTCATTTTATGAACTTTCTGTGTGAAAGCACATATTTCTAAATTTAGAAGCAGGGTTGACATTAATTTATACAGATTTCTATGTAAAATACTAATGACATGTCATGTTTTAACCTCAAAACTCCAAATTATGACTTTCAAAGGAGGATTATGCATCTGACATGTAGAAAGAAGTTAGAAAATGTTGGTTTTTTATTTTATATGACTTTAAACTCTGTGCACCACCTGACCGCAGTCAATTATAGTGTCTACAGCCTTTGCCGTAAAAGCACTTTAGGCTGATTTTTTCAAGAATAGACTAATTCTGGGTTTGCGAATGAGTTTTCAACAAAAGCGACAACTGCGATTAAATGTGAAGAAGTAAAACATGTTTTTAAAAAGTGTTAAATTTTACAGAGACTGGGTTTACTTTCATTTTATTCACCTTAAGTGATTCATTTATTACTGGAGTGGAGGAATAGAAATAATGAAATGAGTTAAATTTGTCTAACAAAAGTAATGCACAAATAAAATTTATTAAGAATTTTTCAAAAATAAGAAGCTTATGACCAAAAATGCATAAATACTGTCAGGGCATGAGAGTGAATACTTATTCTGAGTCCCAACCATGCATCACACATATGGTGCAGAATGTCACTTAGCGCCATGGTATGCCTGTTATGGTTCTCTAGACTTTTTCCATGCTTTCGCAGCTGACATTCAAGATTTTTCAGTTTGCCGGAGAATGTTTTTTGTCATTTTACAACTTTTATGTAGGTGTTGACCCTCTCTTTTAAATTAAGTCTCAGTCAGGATGTTTATTTTAGCATGATTTGTTAAACACATTAATATACTGAAATATTAATAAATTACAAATTAAAGTGATGAAGAAATTTGACATATTTACACAATCAAAATATCAGAATAACCATAATTCAGCTAATAAAATGCCATGTTCTTCTTTTGTCACTTCCTATAAATTTTATCAGCATTTTTTGTACACCCACCCACCTCCAAGAATCATGGAGGATGGCCTGATATTAGTTTCTTTGTTGCATTTATTCACATTTAAAAGTGTTAAGACCCATAAAAATGTTTAAGATTTATATTTTCAAATTTAAATGTTGAATTTTTATGTAAATTTGGTGAAACAAAAAGCTGTAATCTTGAATTAATCATGCAAATTCATCAAACACCTTTGAAATTCCTGAGTAATTCAGTGAAAAGAGGATAATTATGTATGTTCAATTGGAATTTCATGGCTAATTTGTGTCTGCAGAGAAAGCCAGTTACATAAATCACAACAATAAATTACATCTGAATTGTTTTCTCCATTTTCTTATCATCAAAGCAAGTTTAATGGAGTGTCAGAGCTGTCTAGAACCTCCCCAGATGCTGATATCATTTGGACTGCCCTGTGTTACAACACAGCTTTTAGATAAACTTCTGCATAGCAGGTTGTAGACAAGAACCTAGGCTTTATTTGGAACATAAATTGACCCGATGCAGATTTTATTATCAGCCTAATATTTAACAATTTCTGTAAATTTTGTCATTCTTAGGAGGGTAAAATGCAATTTTGTTATGTAATAATTGCATAATGGTCTCAGACTTGTGAATTATTTTTTGTTTGTTGTGAAGAACAATGCATATACTCTCCACGGATACAAAATTGGTTGCCAGGCTTAGTCTATTAAGGATGAAATTCTGCTTCAAAATATGCACAAAAAACTTCTGTCAGAGTGCTCAGTGTGTATTCTTGACTGCTCTGGAGTAAGGGAGATAAATGCATCATATCTCCAGCAATAATGGGAATTAGATCCCCAGACTTCAGGATGTTAGTGACAGTTATTTAAGAAATCTCAGGTGCAAAAAAGAAAAAAATCTGACAACTTCAAAGGTCCTTCAAGGTATCACACCGGTAATTGACCAATCAAAATGAACTTAGTCAATTGTAGTTCCATACATAATAAAGAAATATTTTTTTATTGTGAGAAATTTTTTTAATTTCCCTTATTCTATTTTTACATTTTTGGTATCTGTGCTTAGGATATTTTATGTACTTTGTAAAATATTAAAGGTTTTTGACAGGAACTATTTCTTTCGGGGCATAGGAGGCCACTTCCTGGGGTGCACACAGGATGTTTATAAACACATTGAATACACGTGGTTTTGAGGGTATTCCTGTTTGCGGATGGAGAAAATCAGAAAATGCCGTGTAGGTACCCTATTTTTTGGTGTCA